GGTCGTTTCGATTGTATTAGAGTAAGTGCATGGGTGGCACCAAGTAATGAGAATTGGCACACTTAAGCCCAAAGGAGGTCAAGGCGTCTAATAGCGCCTCCTCACCTAAACTGTGCAAGGAGAGTAGTCAACCATGGCATTATTATTTACTCGGCACAGAGCGAATACAAGTGCCTTTATCTTTGGGGAGACATTGAACTGGAGCAACAGTGCACAATGAATGGTGCGCCACTCGTGTAGATCGCAGCGTGCCGAAATAGTGGCTGTGCTCAACTTAATCTCATTTCAAGGATTTCCATTTATTAGACAAAATGTGTACAACCAGGCATAATTTGGACCTTTCAACTTTGCGAGGCCGCTTCCATGGCTCCAGGAAGTAGCTGCAAAAGGCGCTTAATGAAGTGGTGAATTGATTCACCGAAGTTCTGAACCACGTCTACACATTTAAGTAAATCAATGAAATGGTGTGGGTGCATTTGGAGCTGAGAATGAACTAGAACATATTAGGAAAACAATCATGAATAGTTAGATTTCTAGGCGCATTTCAAGCGCTTTTAATGCTGCATTTATAGCATGATAATTGTTGCTGAAGAAACCCATCTCCTCATCACATTTTCGAATCAGCTGATTTTAGATGTATATTCAAATAGTCTAGTCACCTTCGAGGTGGATTGAATTGAAGTTAAGTCTATAGCCATACTCTCTGAAATAGGAGAATTGAGTCCTCCTTTCACCAGAGCCAGTAGTGGAAGCAAATAATTTCCTTCAAGTGAGAGTAGGCAAGTGATGGGAATGGTAAATATGAATTGCAAATTGAAGAAATTCCATTGAAATGAGCAGTTTATAAACCAGAAATATTTACACGTTCAAATAACTGAGATTGTTTGATGTGTGTACAAACTCCCATTCCAGATTCAATACGTATTTATTCTGTAAAGCAGCGCTTCGATATATAGCAGTGTCTGCTATATATCGTCTTCGCCCTATATATCTGTGACCATTATACACGTGAAATAGAACTATAGTATTGCTTGACTTTCACTACTAATCGATCGAATTTTTGCAATAATTCGACAAAGCTTTGATTGTATGTAAGCGAAAGATCGCAACTGTAAATTTCGGCTCAAAGAAAGGAATATTGATAAAGCCTAGCATATAATAAGCAATCAGTTACTAAATCCCTTAAGTTGGTGTTTTCTCTAGAAGATATGCGAATAGAAAGTGAAGACCGAAGCTCTGTACTAGCTGCCGATAATGTGCCATCAACAATGGAAGGTAAAACATTATCACTCTTTTTAACTCAAACCCTATTTTGTAGGACAGCAAGAAGTCTGCGACAGCAATATTAGTCCTTGTGCAAATGAGGTAGATTCGAAAGAAGTGAATCCAAACCACGAACACACGGTAGAACTAAAGGGTAAACAAGCATTCCTAATCAACATCTGTTTTGGAGATTTAGCATACTTAGAAGCAAATGAAAACTTGGAGAAGAAAACAAGCGAGAACTCAATTGAGAGTCTTCCGGCTGGCACTGAGGGTAAGAGGAATGAAGCGTTTTTACTTTTCTCAACAGCAATATATGCGTAATGCTAGTCTAAACTTACGTAACTCATGAGACAGGATGCTTTTGGACTTCCTTGTTTGAATTTGTCTAATTTTAATCAAACCAAGGCCTAAAGTCGACAGGGGCATCAATAAAAGTAGTTCCCAATGAAGGTGGTTATCAATTTTCTTCCACTCTTATCCCTGCTTTCTACTGAAACTTTGTTCATTCTTCGTGATGGATTTGTACTAATGAAATTTGACACCATCTTAAACGGGGTCTGATTCATTCAACACTTATATGAAGGACAAGGGAGCTATTGAAAACGACCCAAGTGAGAGACAGTGAGTAAGAGAGTAAATATATGGATTTCCAATCACATATAGCTAGTGATCCTGTGAAAATCGCCTCAGTAAGAACAGATTCACGTGCAACCCCTATTTCACAAGGTCAAAGGAAGTGCCCACCACCTCCTACACATATTGACTCCTTCCTAAAGCCATGCGTCAATTACACGGGATGACTTTCCATCGACCCATTCACTGTCCCATTTCTCCTGTTAATTCTAATTTCTTCCAATTCTATGTGGGCAAATATAACAGGATTCCACAAAAAATTCAACCTGCAGTATTCATTTGTTTATTATCCTCGGCATGTACATAGCTAAGCTCTCACTGAAAAAGTGAAATGAGCTATTATTTGGGTAAAATGTCTTCATGGTATATTGGCGAGGAGATCTGATGCTTGACTCTAATGCCACCTGTAAATTACCTGAGGCATCGTTTGCTAAAATTGGGGTCCAAATCATGCGTATAAATCTATGCCAATCTTTGCCTCGATCTCACCGCGCCTTATTTTAATGAAACCAATCATCTTTATGGTAATCCTACTAATTTCCTTGTTTTCAACTAGTCGCTCGCTGGCCATATGATTAAAAGACTTTGAGTTTAAATTGAAACACTTCCTATTTGGGGCCAAATTCAAAGCGAAAAACATTACCCATTAAAATAATTAAATTAAAGGAACATTTTGCATCGAGTTCGACTTGTTATCGAAGATAAACAGTTTTTATAAACTTTCCATTTCAGCACCAGGGTTGGATGAACCCATTTTCGAAGATGACCAGATTTCCGAAACTGGTAATGGCGACGAATTAAATGCAGGTAGATTCAATCTCTCTTTTCATGCGTCTTGACAGTTTTCCACCTTGTTTGTAATTAACATACACTATTCGTGGAGGGATGTTTTCAAAACTTCAACATTCTTGATGCATTATTAAATAGAATGCACAATTTTAGTGGAAGAAATTTCACATTCAATATTTTTTGGCATATGCTCCTGGGAGCATAAAATCATGTTGGTCTTCATCAATTTGGTTGTGTATGCGGTGCTTTATTCACAGAGGGGGAGGGGAGAGATACGCGATGAAGATGAGAGAAATGCGTAGAAGTTGGTATATTCCATGCTTTTTCTGCATCTACGCTCGTAAGGTTGCATTAAAGGAGATTTGTATTGTTTCATGGAAACGGATGGGGTAAACAGATCGAATGGTCCAGAAAATCACTGAAATATAGCAATACCAATTTAAGGTCCAACTCACTGGCATATTTCGCCAAGTAGAATGAACCACTTCTGGAGACACGATGGGTCTTGATCTGGAAATTGGGTTTACAACAGAATTTTAGATAGATAGAAATCGAGGATTAGTGATGACCTAAATAAACTTTTGTAAAATCAAAGGAATTCATATGTCAGTGTCTTATTCTTTTCCATAAACTCAATTGAAAATATTTTAAAAATGAAATACTATTTTTCAAGACATGAATTGGCTAGTACACCTTGGTAATCAAGGTAAATTTTTAAATTCGATTGAATAACCATTATGGAATAGAGATCCGCAATTAAGTAACTTTATCCATATAAGAAAAATGAAAATCTTTAACAAAATTTGTAATTAACAAACCAGATTTGTTGTTAAGATATTGCATCCCATGGAGATCCTTCAATGGATGATAAGCGCCTAACAGAAGAAGAAATAGAAAGTTGGACATTTACAGGAGCGAATCCAGAGGAAGATCGTGGAAACGGTACGTTTCATATATTCTTTATGGAAAATATAAATAATTAAATACACTCGTGTGGAAGCCACATCCATCGTTCAAGAGTGCGAGATCTAGAAGTCGATTCCCATTAGTACGTGTACAAAATGGGGGAATAGACTGTAAGGTCAAAAATTCCTTAAAATGCCTTTTGTTCGAACAAGATTGGTTCACAATGAAACGCTGCATGGCTGGTTTTTTTAAAGTTAAGCTTGTAGTAGGAGCGAACGCAAGGCAAATATGGGTAGTTCGCGAAAGAAATTTAAGAAGTTGATCTCTTGAAGAACAAAGAGTCATTTTTAATGAATTACCCTCACATTCTATCACGCATTATTTTCTATGTTATGTCATTGTAATAATAGATGATGAGAAGAAAGAAGAGGCCGAAAATGAACTCAAAAGGCAGCAAGTGAATGAGGGAGAAATCGAAGTTTGGACTTTGACGGATGAAAAATCGGCGGAAGAAATATTAGGTAAATTTTTACGGAATATTTTGAGCTTAAATTCCTTGCCAAATAACTATCAGCGCTTTTAGCCTTTAATAGGATTTTGGCTACTTTGTCAACTAAAGGGAAGGTTTAGTTTATAACCACACAATAACCCTACACCAAACGTCAGTAGTTCTCTTAAATACCTATTTAGTCGTAGCCTCTATCATGGTCATATGTTATGATTTGACCTCAAAATTAGATAGGCCTTCTACAAAGTAGCGAGAGCACAGAACGTATTGTGTGGAGGGAGTTTCGGCGCCAACATATTTGGTAATCTTTACGCGTTCATTAGCGCTACCACAATTTCCCCGATCAATTGGTGGAAAAAATTTATTTATTTCAAATGGCAGGCGTTTTGATAGCTATCATTAGCCCTGGAGCTGACTTCAGGCTTCACAGAGGGAAGGTTCATCAAAATGGAAGAAAGTCGAGAGAAGGAGGGGTACAGAAGAGCGATTCACAGATGTAAAAAAGGCAGACAGACACAAAGGTAGAGAAAAAGGTAAGATGTGTACTGTGAAAGGGGTCGAATATGGCAAGCAGTCGGGCCATGGTAGTTTGAAGTCAGAGGTCAACTACCGGTTAATAGACTTTTTTACCGTATGAGTATACATTGCCCAGGGTGCACCACGTGGAGGTAAGTCTATTGCACACCCCTTGGTGGAAAAAATTATCATATTAAAATGTTAGTCAAATAAGTATCGATAACCTTTTGCCTTTTTGGCATGGTTTGGTTTCTTTATTGAAAAGAGTGAGACAAATCATTCCATCGATCCGAATCCTCGGAATGCGCTAATTTGTAGTTGTGGCACATACACCCGCGCATTATCACCAATGTTCAAATAACCTTTGCCAAGTGAAAACAATAATGCTTTGTGATTTAATGCAGATTCAAATGAAGCATCACAGGCAGTAAATCCAGTTGGCCAAAACTTTTCTGAGGTGGAACAGGAGAACTGTACAGAAGATGAACCGAATTCTGCACAAATTGGTAAGTGTTGGAAATCCCGTAAGCACGCGACTATCGATTTTTCGTTCAAACAAAATGTAAGTTAATGAAGCTGAATATCTGCATTCAAACAGACACCGCGGATGTTCGAAAGGGAAGACGATTTTCGTTCTACTAAACACATATTTTGCACTTTTACAATTATTTACTTATTTTATGTTTTCTTAACTTAAGTTAGATGACTAGCAGATAAAATGGTTATTAGAATTTAGTCATTTATGCCCCTGAAATTGCATTGTTTGTAGTTATTAATTTCTATAACAGCCTTTTTTAGATTATATTATTTAGTAACATCGAATACCCTAAAATCCGAAAGAAAATCATGGGCAATTGCGACTCTTGATCCTAAATGTTGAAAAACAGTGGTTAGAACAAAATGAGGATGAAAGTTGTGCCACTTCGATAGGATAAAATTGGTGCGAATGATCGTGTAATAGCTTGAGGATAATCTATTGGCAAAGAGTTCGGAAGAATGAAAAAAATGTCCAACATACGAATGAATTCAAAAATCGCCTTTGCTCTACTAAGTGATATTTGGTCCACTATCTTATGCCTTCCCTTACATTGGCTTTACTCATTTCTAGAAGAGGAGATATTGCCTACAATATCGTTGGACTCAGAGAGCTTTTCCAATGAGGAATCTCAAGGTAAGGTCAATAGTAATATCACATTGAATAGATACAAATTCTCCCAATATTAATCTCGAAAATCAATCCAACTGCAATCAAGCTCCGCTAACCGACGAAGAGTGCATTACAGTTGATGATAAAATGAATGAAAATTGTAAGTTGTTTTACCTGCCGTTAGATTCGGTCAACTAACTGTGTATTTTATTTTCATTAAGAGAAGAAAAGGTGCGGGGACTGAATGATGACTCAAGGTCAATCAATAAAATGGAAATGTGAATTGGTGGATAAATAAAACTTCTTAATGCTCTGAAGCGTATTCATATTTTGTTTTTTGTTACATGAGTTAAAATTGAAACAGTCTTGAATTTCAGGTGTTAAATGATTATTGCATTTGAATAGCAACAAAATGTTCAGGATTAAGCATTAAAGGTGACATAGTAATTATTTCAATTTATTGTACTGGTTCCACTCGCCTTTCAGTTGAGATTTCTTTTAAAGTACGAATTTTCATTTTTCTACTCGATGGATAATTGTAAAAATAGCGTCGATTATTTTGTGGAGTGTACAACGCCATAAAGGATGATCAAAGGAATTTCATTAGTCATAGAAAATTCTGGAAAGTGCAGTCGAGTGTGGAAACCTCTTAACCAATCAGCAATCGATTTACTCAAAGTAGAAGGACGAAGTAGGCACGTACCTTGGACACTATCGAGCAATCCTATACCCGAGTATTCAGCCATGGAGGAATGCTAAGATTTAGTTAAGGCACATTTGTGTAATATTTACTACAGCGTCATGTGCTTTAGCAATTCCAATTTAAAAGCGCATTCATTTGTACCATCCTCACCGGAAATGAAGTTTATTTTAACAAATAACAGCGAAGGGGACATACAGTACATCTTTTCAGGCACACAGAAATGATCACACTAATTTAAAATGACTAAGTCTTCGAGCTCACTTGAAGACCTTGGATTTACAACCTATTTTGTATTGCGTCTTCCATTTGTTTATTAGAACCTACTTTCCATGGCCAAACCGTTCTCCACTCAAACTTAGCCTCGTTTGCATGACTTTTTGTAAATAAAAATACTAAGCGGATAACTATCTTCAGAACGGAGGGAATAGACTAGCTGATATTCAGCGGCCTCGCAATAACCAATCACTCTTCTTTGAGTTTAAATATAAACTACGGTTTAGAAATAGGTATTTTGGAGTTGCACGCACTGAATCCGCTCCTAACATAGTTGCGCTGAAGAACAGCAATCCCGATAAAGTACTAGAGCATTGCTTCTCACGAAGATTCGCAGTTGTCATACTGGCATTGACCTTGTTTCGCTCGCATTTTATTAAGATGTGGAGATTCGCTATTAGAGGGAGGAATTGAAGTTTTTACCTATCTTAGTCATGATGTTCCCGTCAACTCATACCTCCTCGGCTGTCTTTTAGGTCACTCTAGAATTCGATGGTCTTCAGAGCGTGATAGCTAAATATAACTCGCATAAGTTCGCCCAAAAAACAAACGCGAAAACTACTGCACAGACCAATGCCATGCCAAGTAAAACCAAGGGTCCAAACTTTAGCGCGTTAAACTTGTTCAGCTCCTGCTTGGGATATTCCAAGTCAGATTAGATATCTTACAAAATAAATTGGAAAGCAAATTTGAAGCCCAAAAGTCCTTTTTGGCTACTCCTTGGATCTCAATTTGAGTCAAAAAGATTTCTGTTAGAAATCGAATGCCAATCATTGTTGCTGGGAATAAGCTTTTAAGTGTGCGCAATGCTCCATGAGTACCACAGGCCAATCAACAGATATATTTTCTTCACCCACAGCAAGGCTATTAAGTATCTTTTACTTGTCCATGAAAGTAAAAAGGGGAAACTTTTGATCAACAGCATTTTGGGCTAGCCTTCAAACACCTAAGCTAGTTTAATGATTAGAATTACTTAAAGAAAAAACTATGACTGGCAAGAGAAGAGATATCCAACCATCGACGGTTATTAGAATTCCAAGTTCGATAAGGCAGAATAAGATTGGCCAAATATTGGATCCATCGATGAAACGCCACGGCTATGTTCTGGACGTGGAGTCAATATGCCACTTCCGTGCACTCGAACATTACTTCGACTCCCAATTAACAGCTTTATTGGAAGGGCAATAAAACTAGATAATCTAAATGGTGACGAAAATATGCCACGATATACATTATAAAGGGCCTATCTTGTTTCATAGTTTAAAATTTCAATTACATATTCTATTCTGTAAACAACAGTGACCTTACTCTCTCTTAAATATACGCAAAAATGTTCTGAGGTTAGCTTTCATAACGAATCAGTTAAGGACTGCTCGAAGACAATATATTGCTAAAGTCTCTCAGAACAACACGAAAGAAACAGATCCATCTACAAAACCCGTACTTTAGGGTAAAAAAGAAGCAAAAACTTTTCCTAATGGAGTGTAATCATTTTAGTCATGTTATCCAACTTTGACTTGCCAAAATTCGGAGTTTCTTTACAAAGCACATACTAGAAACATATTTAGGTGCATTACTTGGTCAGTGGCAAGAGATTTCAATAAAAACATCGGAGCTTACCTGACGATTCTGAGTGATTTTCTGAAAAAATAGGAGCGTGGCACGATTAAATAAAGATCGAGTCAACTGGTCTATTTTATACTTAGTAATGTCGCAAGTGCCTAAATGGGTGTGCTACTTATTGAGTTTTCAGTAGATTTGTAATAAATAGCAGATTCGGGTTTTTTAAGGAATTATCATCAAGATTGGGCCAAAAATACTGACCCTAACAAGCATGTAATTTAAGAGCAGAATCGTTTTAAATGGGAGATGAATGACAGTCAATGCAGAAATGCAATCATATTAATTGCTCCAACACTTAAATAAAGGATTTGAGATTTCCTGATCAGCGTTTATCACGGAGCTTCGGATTTAAGGCGGCGTAAATGAAAGCCTGCAGACAACCTATGGTCTTCAAATGGAAAATTTTCATCTCTACGCAATAAAAATTCGTGATTAGAGAAAGGAGAATGGCCAATAATTTTATTTTTAATGACAGTTGAGTACATATATAGCTCACAATATCCGCAACGACTTCAAGTAACCACTTTCTAACAAACAACCAAGGTAGCTAAAATAGCACCACGTGCGATGATAGTGCATATTTAAGGGACCTTAACGAATATGGCGAGCCTATTCAAACAAGTAGACAACAACCCGTGGACCAGTTTGCGCACAGACAACTACAACTATCCTGTTTCTAGAATTCGCTATTTTTTGTTGTCGACGACCTTCGACGGGACTTAGGTACAGAGATATGAATGAACAAAACTTTCACCACCAGACGGTATTCGGTATTAGTTTGCATGGGACGACCTGAGAGAAGGCATTTGAAAAAGCAACAACTAAATATCCCCGTTTAAGGTGTTAAAATAACGAAGGGTAAGTTTATCATTAAAAAAACCAAAGTCTTCACGCCACACCACTCTCCTAAGCCTATAAATTCAATTTAAAAGTGTAACAATAGAAGCTGATTCAAAGCTCGACAATTGAACACTGTGGCAGTCCCACTACGACTCGACTTAAGAAAAAGGCAATTGCGCAAACATTTGCGAATGCGGTCGACAATCTAAACTAAGCCACAAATAGACCAACATTAGGAATGAAGTCTTGACATCTCACTCTGCATTTTCCTATTCAATTCGCATCTTTGATAAATGAACCTTAAGTGACACTTTTCCGATCAAACTAGCATACCATCGAGAAGAAGGTACAATATGGGTACACTGTTAGAAATCAATCTGCCAATGCAACTATCCAATGACACGTAATACAGCCCATAATACCACTAGCGACACGACACAAAGAAACTCCTGCATTTGGATAGGCATAATTTTGTAACTAAATGCATAAGAAAAAATAAATTCTTTCAAAACATGCAAAGAAGAAAATAAAATAGAGATAAAAATAAAAGCATACATATAGAAAATAATACAAAAATGTTAATCATAAAATTGAATCAGCATCAGATTCGGTTCGTTTGTACTGACTGAGTCAACATATAAGTAACGGCAAATTGAAAGACATTTTAATGAACACGGTCTGTTAATCTGGTCTGATACGTGTAAATGCAGCAATATTAGTAGATAATAGTAATAATAATAATAGTACTAGATAGTAGTAGTGAACAAAGGCGAATGGGCGACAGTGTATTGCAATAAAACGTACATAGGTGGGAGAGCGACACAGGTGAATTGATAGAAAGTCATTTGCACACAGAGAGATACACATATAGCTGTCTCTTTTATAACGCTCTTATGAATTTTCCTGACCACAATCATTACTTTGCTGCTGGAGTGGTGAAGAGTCGGCGGCGGTAGAGAATTCGCGCAGAGACTCCGGGATGGACCATTCAGAAGACTGGAGGAGTTCGATGCATCTTTGATGAGGGGATGGTGAAGAGGGTAGAGTAGATCCTGCATCGGAAGAGGAGTAGTTAGCCAGAGCAACGGCAAGTACCTCGATGGTTGCGTTAGCAATTGAGAGCTGTTGTTGGAGCATTGTCAGGGTATTGGTAAAGACTTCGACTTCGGACTCCACATCATCCAGTAACCTCTCTGAACCTGGAGAGGCAAAACATGCTTCATGAAGTAACCTCATCAAACGCGACCAATGAAATTATGAAATTTGAATAGCGATATAAGAAAAGGTCCCAATTATATTGATCTCCTTGCCCTAATAGTTAAGCTCGTTGTTGCAATGACGATTCAATAGAAAACAGAGTGAAATGAGGTAGACTTACGAGCATTTTGCTTGTGAAGCCGTGTGAGGTGGCGTCGGCGAAGGGCCATGAGATTGGCGACCTTGGCGGGTCGACCGCTTTCACGCATCGTCTCCAACTCTGCATTCTCCCTCTCGAGCACTCTCAAACGACTCATCATTCTCTTCCCGTTTTGGCTTCAAGAGGTAAACGAAAGAAAAAGTGATAATTAGGACGTCACTGACTAACCTAACCTTCCGATCTGGTGTTGGCTCATCGAAATCAATAGAATAAAAAGCACAGATTACAGGTATCTCAGCAGAGTATTCACTCATAACCATTCTTACTATACAGGACCTACGTACTATGCAAAAAATAAGACATTTTGCATCATCACCGGTCATCATAAGTCATCATTTCGTTTCTTTTCTTAACCCCAGGTAGTGAGAACTGGACCACTGGCAATAAGTAAGAACGACAGGTTCGGAAAATGCTTTCAAATTCAATTTAATATAGTAAACAGAAAAAAAAGATGTGCACATACATTTACTCTTCTACTAAAAATAGTAGGTCATTTAATTATGAAACAAAAAAACTTGCAATATTGGGTAAGGAGGCATTGCTATATGGTCATAATATGGGTAAGTGGCGGGGAGATTCTGTCAAAAGCAAGGAGAAATTTTCACTATATTAATAGCGTATTTGGCCACGACAAATCGATTTTGAATAGAATTTTACTGATTCCTATTTAGGGAATTAGGGAGGCAATTCAAAGGCAATTGTGGTATAGATTTTAAAAAAAGTTTTATAAGATTTGAAATAGACAAAATGAACTATGAAAATCAGTACATCCCTCTCATTGAAATACAAGGAAAATTATCATAATTTAGAATATAAGGAAGATTCTCAGATAAAAAAGCTTCCATTTGACCTTCACGTATTTTTAGTCAATAAACTGAAGCCTTGAGACCAATGATTAGATAAAGAAACTTCGCCAAAAATAACGAGTTCCTCAAATACTACACCAACAGCAACACAAAAGCTAGTTGATTCATGTACCTTCGTGCTTTATTGAAGCTCTTACCTGCAAAAAATTCTCTTAAGATTATTTGATGCCGCCTTTCTTATTTTCTCTCAACATCCCTTTAGGTTGACTCAACCAACTAAACTTCAAACAATTTAATAATTGAGAGAAGGGGTGTGCGATAGAATTACCTCCACGTGGTGCACCTTGGGCAACGTATATTCCTACGGCAAAAAGGTCTATTAACTGGCAGTTGACTTCTCACTTTAAACTACAATCACCCCACTGTATTTCCTATTCGACATCTTCCACAGTACTCACCTCACCTTTTTTCGACCTTTGTGTTCGTCTCTTACATCTTTGAAACACTCTTCTCTTCCC